CAATTTCACGAGTGGGAAATATTTACATCGTAAATTTATATCTACTCGAGAAAGTTCTTACTTCCTTTAGAACATGCTCCAAACTTCTGAACGGGAGTGTATTATCGCGGTCCATTTTAAAAATCTCAATCCTGTGTAAAAAAACAAGAAATCATTCTGCACGACTTTGAACATCGATCTAAACACTCGCGAATGTCACTTTAATAACCGGAAGGGGTCGAAGGGAGAAAGACGCCGTTTAATCGAGAAACGACAGGATGTTTCACGAAGCAGAAAACAGACCTCTTTCTCCCGTCTGTGCGGAGGAGAACGTTGCATCCCGCGATAACTCGATTATTATGGAACATATTGATTCATGTTCGTACGCTGCGCGAAGCCGGGGAGCAAAAAGCGAATTTGAATCGGCCGGAGTAAAACAATGAAATAACGATGTAATCTTCGATGACAATGGATGGCATAACCGGCCGGAGTCGCGCGTTGTCCGCTTGTTAACGATGAAATATTACGTATGTACGGCAGCTGTCATCTTACTTGTCCTTTGACGGCATATTTATACCGGTTTTCACCCTGTTCCGCGGCGACCGATCGCGCCGATAACGCAGTGCCCTTCGCTAATGCGACCCAGAGACGCGTCAACGCTTCTGAATTCGTTACGTCGTAGACGTTGAAAACGCGACATTTCCAAACTAATTTCCATTCGTGGAACTAAAACGAGCTACATCCCTCGCACATTCAATGAATTAATTAAAATGTCGATCAATTTTGTATTACGAATGTTTCCTGTTTTTTTTTTTCTCAAGTTTATATTATAAATAGTACATTTATAAATAGTCATAATTAGACTGCAGATTTTCATGCATTTATGGGACATTCAAGAGTGCGAAAATACAAAGAATGCACACACTAGTGGCAAAAATATATAAGATAACGGAAGCATATTAGAGTTGTAACAATGGGAGTAGATTTCTGCTTAGACTTTATTTATATATATATATATATATATATAATAAAATATCCGCAGTCTATTTCCAAAGGACTTACAACTCATAAACATTATTTATCTGACGAGAAGAGAGAAAGAGTAGAAGAGATCCATTAACTAAAAGCTTGTGTCGTTGCGTATACTTTTTCGATTTGTCCAACCGATTCGTCGCATACGATACACGAAAGACACGATGTTTCATTAGTGGCGAAAAAAAAAAAAAAAAAAAAAATTGTTTAAATAAGAGAGAAAAGAGAACATTGCGGCACGCGTGTAAGGTTAAAAGCATACTTTTTTTTGCGAGACAATCGAACCGGAAAGGTTCGAGACATATTTGGAAGCATACTTCCAATGTGGAAGTGGAGTAGCACACTTTATCGATCGTGGCACGCTTGATCGACATGCATCGAAATCCTTCGTGGGTCTAACAGACTGTCTTTTGCGGTACATTTATGCGGGGTTCGCGCCGTGCATGACGTCCGATAAACCGATAACAACCGCGCACGCTAATACTCGCAATCAGAAACAGAACAGCATTGGGAATCGGTAATCAGGATCGACGTTTGCGTTCTCCAAGGGGCCATTACTCAAAGATCCGACACACCGAGAAAAGAGGTGTCACGTGACAATTAAACGCGCGTTACCGAATTTAAATCGTTAGACCTATCGTGTTTGCATTGGTACACATTTATCAAGAAAATAGACGCACATCTGTATCGATTATCATTAGATAAACATAGGAAAGAATAGAGAGTTCATTAATCTCTTAGCTTTTAAAAGTATCGACACATTGTGTGTCGCTAGAACGACGCGATGACGGTTATACTCGTCAAACACGAAGCTGCTGTGAAATTGAATTAAATTATGAAGGGGTTTGAATGAGTTTTTTTTTTTTTTGAAAAATCAATAATTTTATTGTTGAACTTAATAATAATTAATATTAATATTTAAAAATGATGTGAAAAGAACTGGTGCCAAAATATTCTAGAATGTCTAAGATTTACAAATATATTTTATTTTCCACGAAAAATTTAATCTGAGCAACGTATTGTTTCCTCGCATGACGAGTATACTCGTCGTTAGAGAAAGAATTGCCACTTCTTCGCGAGAGATTAGTATGCTCGTCATTCACAGCTAAGGGATTAATGAAACTTACATTTGTTTGACCATTTGACGAATTAATTCTGATCGTTATGTTCATATCAATACAGACACATCGAAAACGAAAAATTTTAAATGATCGTCGGGCAAAAGTAAATGAAAAGAGACGAGAGCGAAGAAACTGTTACGGCAATGTCGGGTTTTCGATCGGGCCGCGATCACTGTAGAAAAACACGAAGTGAGAAGAAGAAATGGCGGATCCGTTTAACAAGGTGCTTCGCCTACCGGATAATACATAAGGGGTATTAAGGCCGCTACTCAATTGGGTATGAGCTCACAGAGAGGTGGACGTCTCAATTTTCTTCGCGACTTAATGACCGATCGTTAAAACCCGGCTTCTTCGCCTCGAACCGGCTCCTCGCCGCACGAGAACCGACAGGATGAAACGAGACGAAGACACTCGGTCCACCTCCCGGTCTTTTTACTCACACCCTCGTACACACACCGGAGCAATTCTCGTCGTTCTAACGTAATCGCTGGCTTTCTGTCGTAATGACGTTTATAAGTATCGAGACCCTGCCGATTTCACGTCACGACCTCACTTCTCCCGTTATCGGACGAGTGCCGCGAACACTGTAACTACACGAACTACCGCGCGTTTAATTTCTTTAAATAATACTGAATTTTATCTCTCGTTATTTTATGTCTCTCCTTCTCCCCTTTCTCTTTTAATTTATTCCTCTGTGTTTTTCATTCGTCCAGGTAAGAGGAACGATCTTTATTTCCAGAAATCGTCTCTCTTTAACGATTCGGATTACGATAGTGCCGCTTCGAAATAACACGATACTCCGCGTCGTAAATTTTTAATACTCAGATGGCGCTGCGCGCCATTATATATCTTACGGTTATTACGACGAAGGATTCGAATATCGCATTACGAATTTACGAGATCAGCTAATTTTATGATTATTAAGTTTGACTTTCATTGCCTGTAGCGGCTATCGAATTATCTACGAACGATATTTGCATCGATCGATCTCCAACATTGATTTCGTTCAATTTGATCGCGTCACTACGGCATGCCATAGTTACGATACGAATTATTTTACTTACGAGAGAAAGATGGCCCCGAGTGTTACTCTGATGCGACTTTTCTTTACCCCGGAATCTCGTGCTGTTGTTTTTGGTACGGCATTCCCATCGTCAAAGATGCTGGAACTATTTTTATCACAAAATTACACACTGTAACGAACAACGACTTTAACGCGGCACCGAACAATTCAAACTGACCGTTTCATACCGAACTCGCCCTCTGGTGGAACAGGACTTAAACGATTTACTCTTTAGCGCTACTTAATCTGTAGTTGATACACACATTTTACATTCTACAGTCGATATGTTTTTTCCTCTAACGAAAAAAAAAAAAAAAGAAATAAATTTAAAAAAAAAGGATAATTGCAACATTTACATTTTTACAACAACAATTCAAATTCATAATCTTAAGTATTAAGTTCATTGAGGCGTGTCCATTGAAGACAGCTCGTCTGCCCAAATAATCGCGGACGAGCTTGGTTGCATTTCCGTTAGTCGAATTTCTGGCGCGCTGCGCGCACGTCTCGTTTGCAATTCCCTTGTTTCTTCTGTTTTCATTTCTCGCATTGTCGTATTCGCATACTTTTTCAAGCTGTTTGACCGAACACTGATCGTTTTGGACACTAATTTCGCATCCCCAGAATTATCAACAGGATTTTCACTATTTGACGATTTGGTAACTGACGAAGTTTTATTAACTCCGTTTTCACATAAACTAGAGAAACATATCCGGTCAATTTTTTAGAAAGGAATAGGATACGAGCAGGAAAATATTTAAAAAAGATAGAACATTTATATTAAAAAAAAAGAAAAACTAATATATTGATGTCTTTTACGAAACATATGATCTTACTGAAACGGTAGCCATTTTGTAGATTCCTTGCTATATCTTTTCTTACTTTGTGCCGCTAATTTTGCAATAATTTTTGCGTCTACATTTATTGACTTCGGTTTTTGCATGTAACTTTTTAATCTTTCGATATTCAATGTCAAATGTTGTATTTGCATTTTAAGCATCGCGTTTTCATGAACTAATCGAGCATTTCTTTGCACTACCTGAGAATCATGATACAATTTCTTTTAATAAATAAAAAAATATAAAACACTATATAATTAAGCAATGACTACAATCGATTATAGCTTTTTACGAAATTCACCTGTAAAAATTTTGCTTTACTCAAAGGCAGAGGGTCCTGAAACTTTTCAGATACAATTATATTGAGTTCTTCTCTTGCTTCATCTAGTTTCTCCATCATGTCTGTCATTACTTGAAGGTGCTCCTTTAGTAATTGGTTAAATTTTTGCCTCAACGAATCCTTGGCATATTTCATTCGCAAAAACTTTATACATAAATTGTACGTTGTTTCTACTTTTTCGTTTAATTCTTCTCGAAGCGACTTATTCTCATCTTCTAAACATTCTCGTACTACCTCTAATTCCTTCCTTTGTTTTGATAATTTCGAGACATTAAGTCGTGTTTTCTGCCGTTGTATTTCACTGTTCAAGAAATCCTTTTCTCTCTGGTAGAAGAACCTGTCATCGTCCAACTGCTCTAAAATTAAGTCGGTACATTTAAGAATCGCGATGAACTTAAACGAAGTTTATAAAAGGCTTACGTTTGAGGTTCCTGATGTATCTTTGTTGTTTCTTCAATTCAGCCGACAGTCGATTATTATCGCGTTGCATATTTTGCAATTGGACATCCTTTAATTGTATAATGTTCTCTAATGATATGATTGTTTCCTTTAGGTCTGTCACCTTTCAATTACACGTTTGTAAAATCATGATTAAGTACCAACCAATATAAAGTAACTCGTAATAAACTTACTTGTTGACGTAAATTTGTTAATTCTTCGCTGACAATTTGACATTGTGTACTTGAGCAAAAAATCTTTACGTTTGTGTCCTTGTTCAAACTGTTCTTAGAACTAATATTCTGCATATCATAATAGCGAATATTACGTTCTAATAATGAATAATAAAATTCTCTTGAGCATTACATCAAAATATTTTGTATTCTTAATTTCACTGACGTTTTACTTACCTCAATCTAGCAAATTTTTAAGTTCTATTTATTTGTAGGCAATCACAGGATTCTTTTGATAAAATAGGCTGATGTATCTCTCACACGTTAAAAATCATTAACATGATGTTTGTATTTATTTCCTCGGGGATTGTATGAACAAACAATTTCTTTCCCTCACATAATGACGAAAAATCATTTTCATTGAATTATTAGATATCTTTGATTGTATTAATAAATGACAAACGCTTATATGTCACAAAACTTTTTAACCTACGAATGCCTAATTTTTCCTTTATCAGGAAAGACGTCTAAATAACGATTACATCATCCAATACTGATTAAAAGTTGTGAAATTTTTTATTGTATCGTATATGTACAAAATAGGTGTACAGACTACTTATCAATCGCACGGGCGTGTTTTATACACGCTTTACATATGCTTTTTTTCGCATATAACACCGATGTAAGAGCATCACATTGTGTAGTACACCTGTGTAAACCCCTCTTCTGTTCTTTCATCAAATGGAATGAATGTCGAGATGACGTGTAAATATGTTTCTTTCTTTTTTTTTCCTTTAATTCTGACCTCATTGTTTTTTACCCTCTTTACAATTATTAATAACATTCTAGCATATAAGAGTTCTGTCACTATTACTCCTTCCCCATCTTGTACACACGAAAATAATAAATTACACTGGAACGTTATCTTTGAAATTTGTTTTTTTCTTCTTCTTAAAGAGCATAATAAATTCATTTTTTTCTTGTGACTCGCGTTTACATGTCTACGTTAGAATAATGTACCTTCGCATTATTGGAAGTGTCGATGTGTGAACACGGCATTGGAGAAGACAAAAAAGGAAACAATACGAATACATCTCACTGTAGATCCGTTCGCACCTTCCACTTAATTTAACAACAACTGATCCAAATATGATCAACTTTCTTTCCACATTAACTTCTAAACACCATGATAATTTTGTAATATTCATCATTTTTTTTTTCTTTTCTTTAATGTTTTTACACGTAATCGACCCTCAGAAGAATCCCCTTTGAACTTTCAACTCCATAAAATTTTGTCAAAAAAATAATTTTCGATTCACATTCTTAAAATCCCATAGAGTTTGTTTAATATGTTTTAAAGGTCATTCTTCTAGGGCATTTCAAAGAAGGATGTTAAAAGATATTCCACTTTCTGTTCGTTATATAACTTAATTAAAATTTTCATTAACCAAAAACATGCGACATTCTTTATAAAGTATACAGTATATTATTTTATAATAATTGAATGATCCAGTTGTGTTATACAAATGTGGAAGGTAACGTTTATCGTCTGATAATCTGGTGAAACGATACTAGATTCGCAAAAATGCGGATGATAATGATGGACTTACGCTTATTAGCCTAACTTAAAAGTTTGTTATATTTCCATATTATTAAGGCTCATGTTTATTTTTTCTTGTTCTTATTAGCTTGGTTTTTGTATTTGGCTGCAGTTGTTAATTTGGTCTTCTTCTTCTTGGGTTCGTCTTCATCATCTTCTTCATCTTCTGGCTCCTGATATATTAAAATAACAAATAGAATACAGCTATACAAATTTTTAAGCACTACTATCACATTAGATAAATAGATACCTAGATACGAAATTTTATTTTATAAAAGATTGTATTATTTACTGACATTCTAATACATTTCCTTTTCCTGTAATACTAAAATTATAATTCAAACATAAAAAGAAAAATGGAAAAAAAAGGAAACATGACAAGGAATAAAATCAATTGTTTTAAAATGAGATGATTTATTCATTTGTAAAAAAA